AGTTCTAGATCTCATAAAAGTTAAAAGGCGGGAAGAAATGCAACTGCAGATATCACGGATGCAAGGAGGGAGCTTCGAGATGTTGGACAGAAAAAATTTGAAAGGCTAAGAAGCAAGACCTGGCTGGTGAGGAAAGGAAGAATAAAAGAGTATTTTGTTTTGCCTTTTCCTGATTAAAAAGAACAAAGGAGATAACACCGAGCATAAACGAATGACGTATTTCTAACCGTAGGCCAGTGTTTCTCAACCTTGACAATTTTAAGGCATGTGGACTTCAACTCCCAGAATTCCACAGCCAGCATTGCTGGCTGTGGAATTCTGGGAGTTGAAATTGTCAAGGTTGACAAACACTGCCGTAGGCAGACAGAGAGGGGAGGCAAGAGAAGGAAAGGAGGACGGAAGGTCTTTCATTTTGTTGTTTTTTTTAAAGAGTCATGCTATTTCTAAAGATTAAAAAAAAAAATACCGCCCGCTTTCAGCGTCGGTTCTTTTTCACGCTTCTCCTAGGCGGGGGGACGAAGAGGGTGCGTTACATCCTCCAAGGCGACAGGATGGCGCTCTTTTCTTTTCAGTGCATTAATGTTTACAAGGGAAGTTCCCACAAAGACTTCCCGGGCAGGCGTCGGCAAATATGGAGCGACCGGGAGTGAGGACGGCACGGCCGCTCACAGTGCTGGGTGAAGAATGCGCCGCTCCGGTCCCTGAGGTGCTCGGAGCGCTGGAGGGCTCGCCACCTTGGCTGCAGCCCCCGGCCTCGGGCTGGGAACGAGTTCGGGAGCTCTTTCGGCGGAAGTAAGTGAATAGCCAAGACTGCAGGAGTAGGCAACTTGGCTCTTTTATGACTCGTGGACTTCAACTCCCAGAATTCCTGAGCCAGCATGGCTCAGCTTGGAAACCAGATGTAAAATATAGCATCTTTTGCAAAAGAAAAGTTATTTTTTTTTCTGGGATGGGGACGTTGGCTTGAACTGTACTTACGTCTTCATGTTCTATTTTTTCCATATTAATTTCTTAATGGTTGCAACATTATGAATGTCAACAAGATTAATTCAAATTAAAAAAATCAATTTATAGGTTTGTGTTTTCTGAATGCATTATCTCTTTAAATGTCAGATTCATATTAGGTAGATTTCATAAATATGCCATCTTGGATCCCTTTAGTCAGATTTTATAACAAAACAGATGGGTTAAAAAGAACCAAAACCCAGTCCCATTTACATCTACACAATACGATAAACTTAAAATGTCACTTAAAAGAACTATTCATTGGGATTCAAATACTATGAATTTCTTGCTGAATCTTTTGTTTGCACACAACCTAAACATCTTTTCCAGCTTTCATCTTCCACCTTTATATAGAGGTTGCTTCAGGCTACTACTATGCTAATGATTGAAAGTATATTAATCAAAAGAACTATTCTGTTTTGAAGTTGTATGAGTTCTGGATTCCTTTGTTACATTTCCTGCATGGCTCAGGAATTCTGGGAGTTGAAGTCCACGAGTCATAAAAGAGCCAAGGTTGCCTACCCCTGGCCAAGAGCCTTATCCTTGGAGCGACAGTGGGTGGCCGGGAGGGAACGCGTGTAATTCAGGAATGAAATGCTTTTTTCGAAATCCGACCTCAGCCTTGTCCTTCCCTGCCTATCCCAGCAATTATTATTCAAAAGGATATGGAGAATTTCATAAAACAGTTTCTGAATATGTTTCCTGAAACATATTTTCTTTTTCAGTGAACAAAAGACGTACCCAGAAGAAACGATATATATAGCTAAAGCAACATTTACAGGGAGTCTTGTTGGCTTTGTCTACGGCGGTATACCTGGATATCTAAATGCCAAAAAACAGTACATTGAGAAATGTGGAGGAGAACTCTACCATAATCGGCTGGATGCTGTGGTATGGACAGATATTTGACAAAATTTGAACGTGCAATAGTTGGGTTGGGTTTTTTTTTTGTTACTTGCTGTCTTGTAAATGAGAAACAAAAATCAGAAATCAAGCACCACAGAGGGACATACTATGTAATATATATTCACTGACAACATTTTTGAATGAAATATTGCAAATCACAGATTAAAAGAATATATTCTTTGCATCCATGTACAAAGTATAGCTTATTTATGGTATTAAATTCAGTTAACAGTCAATTAACAATTGAACTGTTTTCAGTGATGAGGTTTAATCTGTAATGGAAGTTTGGATGGGTGTACCTTACTTTTACAAAACAAAGTTGTGTAAGAAATTTATGGAGCGTTTATCGGGTTTCTATTATCACATTTTCAGTTTGCATTAGTAATGGATATAGAGTGCCTTGACATATAATTTTGCTTACCTTCTCCAAAGCAATCTATGCAACGAATAGCAATGAGGGGATTCATCCGATATGGCTGGCGGTGGAGCTGGAGAGTTGCTGCTTTTGTAGCAATATTCAAGTAAGTGTATTTCTTGTTATCTATGGGAGATAAACAGGGTGCTGTGCTCATGATACATGGTCCTACAATTCTAGGATAATATTGTAACTTATGAATATTAGATGCAAAATGAGACTACTTTGATCATTGTGCCCCTTCTACTGTTTCCTCCATTTCTAATGGATTTCTAATGCATTTTCTGCATTTTTAATTCTGTTTTATTTTCTCAGTGGCGTATCTCTATTCTCAAGCAATAAGCTGATCTAAGCATAAGTCAGGGCTTGGTTATGTTTTCTACTTCCAAGAAGAATTGTATAATAGACCAGATGTTCCTTTACCCAAAAATAAAACAAGATTGTCAAAATTGAGAGATTTTCAAAAAAAATTAATTTTGTGATGACATAGAGGCCATTTGGAGATCTGACTGGCACTGTTATTGATCCTTCATAAAAACCACTTTTCTGTTTCTGCAAACCTAGAATGTTAGCTTTCTAAAAACAGTGGTTACATTTCAAATTGGTTCTAGGTCCGTGGTGGTCGCCCCAGTCCTAGGCCTTCAGCTGGGTTTTATAAAACCTTTTCGCTTTAGGCCTCTGCCACCATGTGCAAAAAAAAAGGTTCAATCAATCAATCAATTTCAACTTCTTGCAGGGGAAAAAAAAGGTCTCGCAAAGTTGGAATTGATTGATTGATTGAACTTTTTAGTCCCACCCAGTCTGCCGTTACCACCGAAACCACACCCACCCAATGGCCCATGCCCACCCAATTGGTCACACCCACCCAATGGGCCACACCCATCCAATGGGCCACGTCTACCCGGCACCTGACGATACATAAGTGGGTTTTGGATTGCAGTTTGGGCACTCGGTCTCTAAAAGGTTCGCCATCACTGTCCTAGGTCATTTGCTCCCTAGATGTTAACCCAATTTCTTCCCAATGCAAATACTTGTTTACAGGTGGCCTCATTATTTAAGTTCTTTTCCAGCTTGGCAATTATGGGTGCCAGGACCTTAAATAAAAAGTATCATATACACACAAATATAATTGGGGGCGGGGAGGGCAGATGTGCAAGCTGGTGAAGAATCTTCAAGATTGAATTTAGGAGGAACTGACAATAATGGAAATCTGGGTTTGTACAGGATTTGTTAATATATAACCTTTTTTCTATCTAATATTTCTTTGAAATTAGGATCATCTTAAGTACAAGTTAGTGTTTCTTTTCGGAAATAAAAATTCAATGCATTATTAAACAGTAAAAACATCATTATTAAAATTTAATATTCCTATCTCATTTTGCTAAATTACTCTAAATTCATACAGTAGAACTGTACATTCATTATCGCAAATAAGACCTACATTATATATGAACTACCCTCTGGATCAGCGGTTCTCAACCTATGGGTCGCGACCCCATTTGGGGTCAATCGACCATTTCACGGGAGTCGCCAAGCAAGGCTGTCCGCCATTTTTTTTTGTCCATTTTTTTCCCCCTTTTTCAGCGGGTGCCTTATCTCCCTTGGGCTGGGCCAGCTGGTGGTCGGCCTGCTCCGTCTCTGCCGCTTGCCAGCTACACCTCGGCCGGCGTAGGGGGCGGAACCACGCATGCGCTGCGCTCCCGGGCAGGGAAAGTCCTCGACTTACGACCGGTTGGGTAGTCCTCAACTTACGACTGGTTTAGTCCTCGACTTACGACCGGTTTAGTCCTCGACTTACGACCGGTTGGGGGTTGCGGCATTAAAAAGGTTGAGAACCACTGCTCTGGATAGATATTCATGAAGATAAAAAATACAGTTGCTATATCTTGTGAATTATGCTTCAAGCCATAAATATCTTCACTGAGAAAAAGATTTTTTATTGATATGTGAACTCTGATGTAAAACATTTGACAGTATATAATTATCCCATCCCATTTAAGAAAATATGTATTTTATGTGCAGATTACAAAAATATCTAAGCAGAAAAATAATGTTTGACTTTTCAGAATTTCTTCCTAAAGTTCTTGTTAATTCTTGCTTATTATTTCTCTTCTTGCAGCACAGTGAATACTGGCTTGTCTGTATATCGTGATAAAAGTACCCTTGGTCACTATACCATTGCTGGAGGTAAGACTATTGATTAGAGAAAATTAGCATCAGAGTTACTTTTTGATCTGGGTTATATTTTGAGTTATTCAGATACTCAAAAAATATATATCCCATGGATCCTGATCTAAATGTTCTGTGGCTATAAACTGGCTGTTTGGAAACTGCATCAGCCCTTTGATATAGAAAGGCTCTGCTGAATACTGCTGAAGTTCCCTAAAAACCTTTGTAACTAATAAGATAAACCAAATATTTTATTTGGCCTTCTCCATAATCTGCTTTTATTTCAGCTAGAGTTGTGCAAGCATCCTGTAATAACTTATATGCTGAAATAGTGTTTTCTTATTTTTTTTACTTACTACTTTGTAAATTGAAGTAACATTGCTTCCAGATATTATTAACTACAACTTTAAATTTTTGAAATTACTCACTACAACTTCCAGTTTCAATGTTCAAGGATATTGGATGCTGAAAAACCATAAATCCTCCATACTGTTGCTGCTCTCACCACACAGGCACAGCACATACACAGTATACCAGAAGATTTAAGATATTACAGTTTTCCTTGGCTCTTTTTTCATATTTTTCAGGTTTCTGAAAAAGAAAGACTAACACTTACAGTTACCAATGAAGGAGAATATTTGTAGCTCAGGATTGAAATGAGGGGCACTTGGTGCTCTCTGAGTTTGCTTGTTTTCTTACAAATGTTTCATAACCCTAACTAGGTAACATCATCAGTGCTAGTCTGTTGATATTGCCTAGTTTGGTTAATGAAATGTGTGCAAGAAAACAAGCAAGCTCATGGAGCACCAAGGACCCCCTCATTTACAGTTACCTTCTCTAATCCCCAACTACAATAATGAACTGAGTTGCAATTTAGGCTTGTTTATTATTCCTGCTACCGTATGTACCTATTGAGCCCAGAATTTTCCTAACACAGAATGAACCATCAAATTGATCCTGGAATCTGCTGCTTCTTATATACGTCTGGAAGGAAGTGCTATTTTCCTTTTCACCGAAATGAGGTCTGCTAGCCATTTCACTTGAATATGCTGTTGGAGGCAACTTTTTAGTAGTCATTAATATGGGTAGTAATATTAGGAAAGAATAACTTGGAAACAATGTAATTGTTTATACTATATAAACATTGTATAGATTTTTAAAAGAAGCTTGGTGGGAAAGCCATGTTCTAAATCAGGGGTAGTCAACCTTGGCTCTTTTATTATGACTCGTGGACTTCAACTCCCAGAATTCCTGAGTCAGCACAGCTGGCTCAGGAATTCTGGGAGTTGAAGTCCACGAGTCATAAAAGAGCCAAGGTTGACTACCCCTGTTCTAAATTGTTTAAATAATGGCTACATTCTTGAATTATATACTGAGATAGGACATCTATATGCACACACCAACATTCTGATATTTCCTCCATATACATCCAACTATAGACAAACAGATGTTTTGTGTGTGTGTGTGTGTGTGTGTGTGTGTGTGTGTGTGAGAGAGAGAGAGAGAGAGAGAGAGAGAGAGAGAGAGAGAGAGAGTTTTAAAGATATACGTACTGCCCTATAGATGTGTATGGGTGCACACTGTCTGTACTTTATGTGTTTGCTGCAGAAGATGTTGGCCTGACTTGTATAAAATAGATATTTGGGGTTGAATTTATGATATGTACAGCCTTGAAATTACATTTCACTAGACTAGATGAGGAAAAGGAGAAAGTTGAAATGACTTAATAGGCACTTTGGAGTACTGAGATTGAGCTTGCTTCGTCTGATTGTATTCTATTTCTAGCTTGTACCGGCAGCTTGTTCAGAATGCACTTGGGCTTGAGAGGTCTGATTGGAGGCAGTGTTATTGGAGGACTCTTGGGGTAGGTTGCTCAAAAAGTGCACACTTTGAACCATAGCCATTATCTGCATTGCTATCTTTTAATTGATTTGTTTGGATGACATCTAAACCTCCATGTAACAATTTGCTGAATTTTGCAAAGATGTTTTTTCTTTCTTTTTCATACACATCCTGGCCATTCATTCTGAGACAGCCTTTTAGCTTAGAAAGTTCATTATTTAATGGGCTAATTTCAATATTAAGCTAAGTTCAATATTTAAGCAGAGATTTAGGAGAAATAGATAATTTCAACCATTTCCAGTAAGCTACTGTCTTTTTCTTCTGAAGTATCTGATGCCTCTATTATTTTCATGATGGAAGAATGAGAAAAGCTGCTGTGTTTTCCTCAAAGTACCTTAAGATAGATGTGAGTTTTAGATCTTCTGTTTCGTGGTGAACTTGTAATCCTTTAGAAGACCCACATGAGTATATCCCTTAAGTAATATACTTTTACAAAGTAAAGGAAACTAAATATGAAAACCAACATTTATAGTAAGACTCAAACCACTGCAAAATCTGTATTTTGTACTTTGTTGAAGAAGCTGCTACAATATAACTCAGAAATAAAACAATTTAACAGTGTAGTTTTGAACATGGTTATTTGGAAATTAGTTTTCACTTTATTCATTCACTGACATTGTAGAGGGAGAAATTTGAAAAATATACATTCTTGAGTGCTTTCATTTGAAAAATACTCTCTATATATTAGGACAGAAGGATTTTAGACTACCAAACTTTTAATATATTACTACATAAATGTAACAATTGTATTGCATCTTAATAATAATAAACATATGCCTATTTGTTTTCCTACTTAAAACATTGTATATGAAGATGATTTCTTCATTTTTTTTAAATGATGGATTATAAAATTCAGAGGTAGAGATATAAATGCTAGCATTTATTATCTGATCCTTTCATTGTCATAATTCCTGCTTGGTTGTGTTCCACATAACTACATTTATTTCCTGTGATGTTTTTCTGCAGTGGCTCTCTGGGAACATTACTAATGGGACTGCAAAAAGTCACTGGCGAAACCTTTGTTGAGAGAAAGAAAAGAAAGCAAAGTGAGCTACATGCATTTAAGATGGCAAAGTGGTAAGAAATCAGGGTTATTCCATTATACAAGAAAAAGCTGGGTCTCAGTCTGCATAACTCACAGGTCCTTGCTACTTCCATAATAATGTGACTTGATATTTGTATGCAGTCAGGTATGCAATTTGATACCATGTATAGCATGACTTTGTTAAAGAATTCATACATTTTGAGTCCTGCGACTCCTTTTATTCAGTAGATAAAAATATTTTACAAAGTAAATTATGCCAGACCATTTGTTTGTCCTTAATAGAATAAGTATAGTATATCAGGGCAGGCAAAATCAAGGAACCCAATTCATGGTTATTTTTACTTAAATAATAGCTTGTATAAGATAGTTACTTTTTAAAGTGAAATAAGTCTTCTTGATGGTTAACATTAAGTAATACAGTTGGCAGTGGAAATAAATAGCCTAATAGTTTTATCCAGCGATTCTCAACCTTGGCTTGAGTTTAAGATATCTGAACTTCCAAGTCCCAGGGTGCCCCAGCCAGCCATGAGGAATTTCGGGAGTTGAAGGCCATGCATCTTAAACTTGCCAAACTTGCCAAAAACTAGTCTTATCAGTACAGGTAGCCATGGTTTAACATTCCTAATTGGGTCCAGAATTTCCATCACTAAACAAAATGGTTGTTAGGCGAAATATCATAAGACTGTACCACTTAGCAATGGTAGTTCTGGTAGTCTCAGTTCTGTGCTTAGACGAGGACTGCACTGTTGAGGACCTCATGCTTCTCCAGCTCTGCCACACTACTTTCACTTCAACTCCCCACCCTCCATCTCCACCCATCTCTACCCTCTTGGTTTCTCTGTACTCTACTGCTCCTGCCACCCCAAGCTGATCTTCATTGCCTTCTTCCTCCTCCTGCTGACTTGTGCCCAGAAAGCAGCTGCTGGCCTTTCACAAGGCTTTCCTGAGAGCTTTCTGACCTCATTCAGCAGACCATATGAAGCCTCCACAATGCCTTGCGAAGCTGAACAAAGTCCCTAGGAGGCGTCACAGAGGGACAGCAGCTGCGCATGCCTTGGTTGCGCATGCCTCTTCAGAAGAATGTAGTACTACTAGCATCAACAGTTTAAAAAGAGGGTTGTCTGGGAACAAAATCTACTCTTCATTTTGAGTTTTGTGTGAAAGGAGTGGCTTTTTTGGAGACAGGTTTTAGATTCTCTTCTAATTGCAATATCAGACATTAAAAAGTTATATATGTACAATTCTGTTTGTTATTATCCAGAAATATTGAAGCCTTTTTCTTGGTTTAGGAAAGCCACTCTTGATATCCCTGAAGACAGTTCAGAAGAAACAGATGATGTCCTGCAGGAAAAAGATGGTAGATAATCTTGGAAATTCAACTTTAAAAATTGACTAGAAGCCGTTTGTTGGACGGGGAGAAATTTGAATTTCTCTGGATACATAATTAAATATGTGCAGGTAACAACAGAACTTCTTGTGGCAAAAACAGTAACTTTAATTTTTTTTTTTAAAGTTGTATAAAAATAATGTCTGGGAATATTCATGTAAAACACAAATTCTTAGATATAGCATTACTGCTTCCTTAAAATATATAAAAAAATGACTAAATATTTTTGAAAAACTGTGGCTTTTATTTAGTTTAGAACCCATAACTTAAAATAAGTTTTATGTCTCAATGCGTACCCTATATCAAATCCTTATAGAAAGCCAGTACCTCACATTCCCAACACTTCTTTCCAGAGTTCTCTCAAACTCCTTTATTTCTTAATGCCACTCTCCTGCCACCAGTGATAATTAGCTGAGTTTACTCTACCCCTGAAATTATTAGTAAATAATTATCTCATTTGAATGAATGTTAAGAGAAAGAAAAGAAAATATTTCTATGTCCGAGCAATCTCACATCCAGCTCTATTTTGACTTTCACATTCTAGCAAACAACCATGAGATAAAAATGAATAAAAATTATATTTCTCTCAAATATATAAACAGGTACTGGTATCTAATTAATGCATCAACTGATTTTTTTTTTGTCATAAATATGGCAAGAAACGAAATTACGTACTACAGTTAGTAATTATGTGAATTAGTTCATGAAGAATTATGGTTGTTAAGGATTTAAACCATTCTTTGAACCTAGTTCAGCTGACCAATCGTATTTTCTTTGCAAGACAATAATTTCAATGATGTTTTCAGTGTTTAAGAATAATGCATAAAAATTTAAAACTGTTATATAGTTGTAATACAGAAGTCAGCCATTTTTATACATTACACCGAGGAACAGAACTAGATCACTTTATATTTCCTATATAATTTATAAAATGTGTTTGAAGATTTTTGTCTCAGCACAAGTTTTAGTCATGTGCCATTACAGTATTTAAGAAACTAGTGTGAAAATGGGAGAAAAGAGGTTAGAAAATATTTGGGGCAGCAATTGTTGTCACAAAGAGTCAGTGTCTCCTGACTGAATTGTCAAATTGTTGATTGGGTGAGACTATTCATAAAGGGAAGTATAAAAGCTTAATGGGAGAAAAATTATGGGATACAGTTGACAGTTCAAAAGCAAAGCCTTTGAGAAAGTATCTACAGGGAGATGTGAAATCAAGAGCCATTTTCAAATGAGACTGGAATGTGCTATTTGCTACAACTCACTTGAATTAAAGTGTAAGAATTACTGAGTGTCTTGAATAATTTATGTTCACATTTTTACTTTTTAGCATATCCCTCTCTCAATTTATATGCTTTCTCTATTTTCTGCTTATTTAAATGATTTTTATGACCATCCATCTTGAAACAGTGACTGGGTAACATACAGGGTAAAAACAGCAACTATTACTGATAATCTATGCCACTTAAGATAAATAATACATCTCACTCCAACAAATCCAAGCCAATTTATCCAGCACTTGCTTAGAATAGTCCTTACATCAGTCCTGCAAAAATTCCCATGACTATTCCTTACCTTGAAGGTAACAAGTTATCATGTTAGGCCATTAGTTGACATTCTGCAAAACAAAAAAAAAGTGGGGGGCAAAGAAATAACAGTTCACTGCCTTTATTAGGTATTAATAAAACCTGTTATCTGTGTTCATTTGAGTTTACTCTTCATTTTTCTCCAGTGTTGTTCTGGAGCTTCTGAAAACCAGGTGGCTCTCTGGGATCCATGTCCATAGATCAGGGCTTTTGAACCAGTGGTTTACGTACCACCAGTGGTACTTTGGCACATGGCAGGTGGTACATGACCCTCCTAAACAAGTGTAGTGGGGAGGGGAATGAGCTGAAGTGACCCAAACCTGAGAGAGGAGCAGCTGGAGCTGTAGGATTGTCAGGGCTCAGCAGAAGCCCCAGGATTTCTGCAGGGCTCCAGTGGATTGGCACTTCCGGAAGCAGTGCGTAGCTAGAGGAAAACCGAAAAGGGGAGGAGAGGAGAAGATATAAAAGGAGGTGGTTTTGGTGGGAAAGGGAAAAAAAGACAACAGGGAAAGAGAAGGGGACAGAGAAGAAGCTGTTGAAGGACAGCTCAGTAGGCAGGGAGGAAAAAAGGACAGGGGAGAGGAAGCTGTTGCTGGAAGAAAAGGTCCCCTGGTTCGTTTTCTCCAGCTAGGAGAATGCAATCAGCGCTGATGAAAAGCCGGGAGACGAGCATGTCGGAAAGGAGATTGGTTTATTTCGGAAGCCAGGGGGTTCCAGATCAGCTGGCAGCTTGATTGGGTTACCATAAGGATTTTTACACAGTTTTTACAGCATTTTGTAATTCAGAGGCTCGGTTTGTGTGCTTTGGTTAGTGGAATATTTTAGTCTGTTTCACAAAGGCTAGCAATGAGTCCAAAATATTGGCTTCCTTAGGTTTAATCCCTTTAAACAAATGTAATTAGTTTTAGTCCCTTATCTTTAGTCTGTCTATGGCTTTTAGCAAGTTTTCTTTGTAGGTAAACAGGCTTAATTTAAGGTTATCGCATTACCACAATTGCTGGAGCCTTTCAGGCTCCAGTTGCTACATTGTTTAAACTGAGACACGCCTGTGTTTTTTTTACAGTTTGTAACATTTTATTAGATTATAGAATAAAATACAAAAATACAAAAGCAAATAGTAGGAGACAGTGGGGAGGAAAAAGGGGGGAAAGTGAGGGGGAGAAGGGAAAAAGAACTGACTTACTCTGTTGCAGTAGAAGGAAGCATTAACATTGAACCTCAACTTTTTATTTTTTCCATAATATTATAAACTAGCTATTTCTATAACAACAAATGAATCTAATCAGTAAAACCCAACCCCCCTTTTTTTTACTCATCAAGTTTTTGACACCTTGCTAAGCATTGGTGGTACTCAAATATTGTCATGTCCTAAAAGTGGTACAATCTGTGAAAAGGTTGAAAAGCCTTGCCATAGATGACCTAATCCCTATCATCTAAGACAATTTTGCATTTTCTAATTCTGTTGCATATCAAGGTATGATACAAGACCCTGTTTTAGCTCATTAAAATCTTGTCACATAAGCCTGAAATACATATTTAAAACAGCAATAGATTGATTATTCAAATGACCAATAAGCTATGGCTATAGCAATACCCAATAGCACAGCTTTAAATGAACTTTTAGAAGGTTTTATTAATTAAATACAAAAAAATGAATACACACAATTATAAAAGAAAAAACTTTAAAAAAATACAGAATGTACACTGACATATGTATGCAGTATATAAACGTACATAAGCATTTCATTGCAATTATTCATGTGTAATCTATGCTAGTAAATGATGCATTCATAAGTTACCAACATCATTTCTGTAGCCCATTCCATAGTTGGGGCCATATATTTATTTTTGTAAAGTTGGAAAAACAGCCAAAATTGTCAGTATGGCATGGAGAATCTACTTTCTTCGTCTAAATGTCAATTTCCATGCGATAAAGACCACAGTTAAAAAGAATTTGTCTCAGAATTGAATAATATGTTATTTACTGTTTCTAAAATGGACTTGTTATAAGATAATATACAAACATTTCAATGAAACATTCTGAGAGCATGATGAAATTTCTTCAAAAATGCAATGAAATTCAATAGTCTGAAATATTTTTGTTGTATAAAATGTAATCTAAGGTGTACAGATATTTTTAGAATTTGTGTCAACAATACTTTCCATTATATA